ATCTCTCCATGAATGGCATCTACTTTCTTAGAGACCACCTGGATCAGGTTCTTGGGTAAGTAAGGATGAGGGCTGGGTCAGCTGCCAGAGCAGACATTTCTTTAATTTTAAAGATTAGTGGTTCATGAGACCTGCCAGTCACTGGGTACAATATTTAGGCCTCCTTAGAATATGAAGGTTTCATGTTGTTTCCATGTATAATGAATCAACTTGTCAAATTCCCACTCTTTAGTCAAAGGACTGAAGGTCAGATCTAGTAAGGATGGGTTGTAATTCTTCTTGGAATCATGCCCACCCAATCCAATGGAAAGGGAACAGTAAGGGGAGAATGCAGTGAAGGTTCAGAAGACTCACCAGCACAATTTGGAGGTGAGCTCTGTGCTCAGATCTGTTAGTAGACTCACTCTGCCCCAAATTTGCTATGGGCGAAAGGTTTTGAGCCCAAGTAGAGTGCATGGGACAATGGGATAGTGTGGGTGTTAAATGACAGCAATAGTGACTGTGCAAGGCATTGATGGAATCCAGTGTCCAGTGAGCACATAGGAAGTGTCCCTATAGCCTGTCAGGACTTTCATGGGTTGGAACTTCTTTTTCTTTTATTAGTATTGTTGTTGTTATCATATACAATTAATTCATTTTGTATCCTGAATGCAGTTACCTTTCTCATCTCTCTTTGGTCGTACCTCCCCACCATCTTCCTTAACATTCCCTTTCTCTAGCACTCTGAAAAGGGGGACTCCTACACCACTATTATCTGACCCTTGCCTATCAAGTCTCATCAGGAATGCCTGGATGCTCTTCCTCTGTGGCTTGGTAAAGCCACCCTGCCTGGGAGAAGAGCTCAAAGAACAGGCAACCAAGTTCTGGTCAGTGGCAGCCCTGCTCTCATTATTAGTGGACTTACTTGGAGACTGAGCTGTCTATAGGCTACATCTCAGCAGGGGGTCTAGGTCTTTTTGAATGGTCCTTCGCTGGTGCATCAATCTATGGAGGCTCCCCTGCGCCCTCATTTTTGGGCTTTGTTGTTCTCCTTGTGGGGTTCCTGTCCCTGCTGAGTCCTTCTATTCCCACCTTCTTCCATAAGACTCCCTGCTGTCTGCCCAAATTGTGGGTCTCTGTCTCTACATCTGCTTTGATCCCATGGTGAGTGGAGTCTTTCAGAGGACATCTATGTAGGTTCCCATCCTGTTTCCTTTCTTCAGCTGCTTCTAGTCTCCATTCTTTTGCCCTTCTGAGTGAGATTTAAGCATCCTCACTAGGTTTCTCCTTGTTTAGCTTCTTCAGGTCTGTAGATTTCAGTATGTTTTTTTGTATTACATAGCTAATATCTGCTTATAAGTGAGTGTATACCATGAATGTCTTTCTTCCTCCCGGGTTACTCCAGTCAGGATGATCTTTTCCAGTTCCATCCAATTGCTTGCAAATTTAATATTTCTGTATAAATTCTTTGATTGAGGGACATCTAGGTTGTTTGCAGATTCTGTCTATTACAAATATTGCTGCTATAAACATAAACATAGTTGAGCAAATGCGCTTTTGTGGTGGAGCATCTTTCAGGTATATGCCCAGGAGTGGTATAACTGGTTCTTGAGGAAGGGCTACTTCCACTTTTCTAAGAAAGTGCCAATTGATTTCCAAAGTGGTTGTACATGTTTGTGCTCCCACCAGCAATGGAGGGGAGTTCTCAATTCTCCACATCCTCTCCATCATGTGCTGTTACTTGAGTTTTTTATCTTAGCCATATATGAGTGGTATGATATGGAATCTCAGAGTCATTTGGAGTTTCATTTTCATTACTAAAGATGTGGAGCATTACTTTAAATGTTTCTCCACCATTCAGTATTTCTCTGTTGAGAATTCTGCTTAGCCCTGTACCCCATTTTTAAGTTTTTTTTTTTTGGTTTCTTGGTGCTTAACTTCTTAAGTTCTTTATAGATTCTAGACATTAGCCCTTTGTGAGATGTTGGGTTGCTGAAGATTGTTTCCCAGTCTGTTGACAGTGTTCTTTGCCTTACAGAATTTTTCATTTTCATGAGGTCCCATTTATTGATTGTTGATCTTATAGCATGAGCTATTGTTATTCAGTTCAGGAAATTATCTCATGTGTCATTGAGTTCAGAGCTCTTTCCCAACTTTTCTTCCTATAGATTTAATGTCTGGTTTCATGTTGAGGTATTTGATCTACTTAGACTTGAGTTTTGTTCAGGATGAAAAATGTGAATCTATTTCCAGTTTTCTACATGTAGACATCCAGTAAGAACAGCACCATTTGTTGAAGATGCTGTCTTTTTTTTGATTGTATGGTTTTTCTTTGTCAAAAACTCAAGTGTCTATAGGTGTGTGGATTTTCATGCATTTTCTATTTGATTTTACTGACCCCACAGTCTGTTTCTATCTTTGCCATGCAGTTTTTTTTATTGTACATGATTGTTTTAGCTATTCTGGGTTTTTTTGTTTTGCTGAGAATTTTTCTTTCAAGATTTGAAGTATTATGCTGGTATTTTGATAGGAAACACATTGAATCTATTCACAGATGATATGATAGTATATATGAGTGACCCCAAAAATCTTCCAGCAAATTCTACAGCAGAAAAACACCATCAGCAAAGTGGCTAGATACAAAATCAACTAAAAAAGAAAATCAGTATTCCTCTGTATTCAAAAGGCAAACAGGCTAAGAAAGAAATTAGGAAAACAACACAATCGTCCCTAAAAAATATAAACTTTCTTGGTGTAACTCTAACTACGCCAGTGAAAGCTTTGTATGAAAAACTTCAAGTCTCCGAAGAAAGAAATGAAGAAGATAGCAGAAGATGAAAAGATCTCTCAGACTCGTGGTTTGGAATTTCTTATGATTGTTTTCTGGTCTTATGGGCTGAACAGTTTTCTGCTTGAGAGTGAGACTAAAGAGATGAAGTGTGGGTTTGTCTTGACTGAGCAGATTCCAACAGGAAGCATCTTAGAGAATGTCCTTGTATTTGGTCAAACTGACCTTGGGGCACCGAGTTCTTTCTACCTCTGTTTAAATACGACTCATATTCTCCAAGACCATTTTCCAGAAATAATTTCCTTGTCTATTTCTAGGTGCCTGATGAACCCGTTGCAGACCCTGTCCATTACCTACTGCAACCTTTCACAGTCAGACCTGAATTCCTTGTCTGAGTACCCGAAACTCTTTCAGCTGAAACATCTGGACATGAAAGGTGTGCGCTTAAAGGCTTTGGATCTTACACCTCTCCAAATCCTCCTAGAGAATGCGGCAGACACTTTGCAGTCCCTGGATTTGAAGGCTTGTAGGATGAAGGACACTCATCTCACTGTGCTCATACCCGCCCTCAGCAAGTGCTCCCAGCTGGCCAATGTCAGTTTCTATGACAATGATTTCTCCATGCACAATCTGAGTAACCTTTTGCAGCACACAGCTAACTTGAGCAAGATGAATGTGGAACAGTACCCTGCCCCACTGGAGTGCTATGATGAGTTGGGTTATATCTCCACAGAGAGATTTATCCAAGTATGTGAAGAGCAAATAGATAGACTCAGGGCCATAAGGCAACCCAAGTGCATCTCCTTTGCTACACATATGTGCTCTAGATGTGGAGAGCGTTGTGTCTATGGCCAAGGATTCAGACTCTGTCTTTGCCAGCAGAGGTAACAGTAAATAGGCAAACAGGACTTCTGGATTGGAAGAAATAAAAGGCTTGAGACCTGTCATGCTGGGGACTCAGGACTTCAGACACTCTTCCTGTTTTTAGAAACAAAATGATGTTTAATGAGTTGGAATTAGGAGGCTGAATTGACATGGAGAACAATGCAATTGTGGGAGCAGAGGATCTTGTGGAGTGAGAAAGACCACTTTATGTTTATAAGTCCTTCTGTCAGGACAGGATAACCAGTGGCTTTGTCCTGCAGCTGTAAACCTGGATGCTCTCCCTCTGGGGTCTTTTTCAGTTATCATCCTCACTGCCAGGTTCAGGGTCAGGAGGAGTCAGTGACTCTACGACCCCAGTGGAAAAACAATGGAAAAACACCACTATTTAATGAGTGCGGCAAAGGTCCAGGGCATCCATAAAACTAAAAATTTGGTGATAACTTCTTTCATTCCTGTCTTTTGTCTGTGTGTTAGTTACAACCTTCTTGTGTAGCTGTTCATTTACGTGTACAAAAATTTTAACGTAAAGTAAGCAACATAGCACACATCTTATGAATAAGGTTTTAATGAATCACAGACAATTAACATCCAGTACACTCAGGCCACTAGACACTATAGGCCCATAAGAGATGACTGAAGAGAAGCAGAAGACAACACAGGGGAAATTGAACAGGGTTTACAATTTTTTTTCTCTTAAAAATTTTGTTTCCTCACATTCAATGTTGTGCACACTTGCAATCCCAGCACCCAGGGAAACAGGTACAGGTGGATCTCTGAGTTTGAAGACAACCTTGTCTAGAAAGTAAGTCCAGGACAGACACAGCTACCCAGAGAAACTCTGTCTCGGGAAAAAGGTTTTATTTTTATTGTAAACAATAAATAAAAATGTACGGTAGCCCGGCAGTGAACTCTTGATCTTTTTGTCTGGGAGAAACTACCACCATAAACCACTCTATCCAGCTTGCTTACCACATGTCTAGAGGGTAGTATTCCTTTGGATTCACAAACTCTTTGTAATAGTCATAGCATTAAAGGTTTTCAATAACATGTAAATCCCTCTGCTACAGAATACCTTTACTTTACCAAATAATTCATATCTTCAGTGTCTCTGTATGAAAGCATTTAAGAAAAAAAAATCTCCCTAGGCCTAGCCAGTATGTGCCCTCTTTTCTGTATAGTAGATCAGCAAAATGATTTATTATTTTTTTTGTTCTTCATTGGAATATTTATTGAACCCATAGAAGATGGGTTCTTTGTATAACTGTAATTGTTGTTGTCTAAATTCCATAAAAAAATCTAAATTTTTACTCCTCAACAGGTTGTCTCTGGACAGAAGTAAACAGAAACAGATTGATGACAGTAATGTCAACTTTCCCAACACTGGGGGACTTGGATAAATTTTTCCACCAAGGTGGGCCACATCCAGGCCAGACTAGACTACAGAGTAAGACATTTAAAAAAAAAAAAGACAAAACCCATAGACTGGAACAATGATTGACAGCTCAAGAGCACAGCTTGCATTTTCAAAGACCAAACTTTGTTTTCAGTACTCATAACAGGAGGTTCTCAACTGGGCCTCAGGCTTCATGTCATAGGCCCAGTTATCCTGGCCTGTGTGTGTCCCTCCTTTCACATGCACAGATCTACACAATACACCTACGTAGACACCTAATTTTTAAACCTCTTGATATAAAAACTCAGTTCCCAAGGAAATAAAAAAGGAACTAATTAATTAAAGCAGAGATGTTGTTCAGGAGCAGGTTGCTTGCCTCACTGGTATGTGTTTCTGACATTAATTCTGACACTGAACAGTGAAGACAGTATGTGGACTTTTCAGGTGTGTGGGGTGAGCAATAGCCTACTTTTCCCTTGGTTCCAGGGTCTGAGATCCTGCACAATGGATGAAGTGAAAGGACATCCTTGGCATGTCAATGTTGACAATATAGTTTTGTGTGTATTTTATGTATATGAGTGCTCTATTTGCATGCATGCCTGCTTGAACAAAGAGGGCATCAGATCCCATTATGGTTCTGAGCCAGGATGCTTTGGAAGAGCATCCACTGCTCTCAATGCTGAGTCATTTCTCCGGCCACAATATCCTCGATGTAGAAAGCACATGTTGATACAGAATCACAAGTAATTAGGTATCTATTTTATGTAAAATCTTACCCATTTGGTACCATGTTTTTTTTAAAAATTTTTTGTTATTTTATTTCATTTATTTTTTATTTTTTTAATATTCATCAGGTTATTTAGTTTGTATCCCAGCTGTAGCCCCCTCCCTCATTTGCTCCCAATTCTACCCTCCCTCCCTCATCTCCTCCCTTTGCCTTTCCAAGTGTACTGCTTAGGGAGGTCCTTCTCCTCTTCCATCTAAACCTAACTTATCAGGTATCTTCAGTACTGGCTGCAATGTCCTCCTCTGTGTCCTAGAAAGGCTGTCCCTCCCTCGGGGATGGGGTGAGGTAAAGGAGCCAGTCCTTGAGTTCATGTCTAAAATACACACACACACACACACACACACACACACACACACACACACACAGGTAAATGTTAATCTACCATGCTTTTTCTCTTAACGGCAATACAGGAAAACTACCTCTTCAAGAAATTTTAAAGTATTTCTGTCTTTAAATTTTCCTTATCCACTAGAACTGCTGATTTTTCTTTAGTGAATCTATATTCACTGAAAACTAACAAGAAATAAAAGAAACAGAACTTCAACGCTAACTACAGGTGACACAGGTGAGTTGCTGGAGTGTTTGCCTAGCATGCACTGATCTCTGGGCTCTCTCCATCAACACAGTGTGTTAAGAGGCCACAGTGCTTGTATTCTATGTCCTTACACTCAGGAGGTAGAGGCAGAAGGGTCACTGTTCAAGGTCATCTAAGATACATATGCAGTACTCCTGGGCTACAAAGACCATGTTTCATAGTAGCAAAACCAACCAAACAAGCAAACTAGCCAGGAGTACTAAGATGAAATGAATAACAACAACATTAGAAGATGCTTGAGAAACAGCCCGTGAGGTCAGCAGCTGGGAGCTGAGGCTGGGTTTGGCGACACATGCTAGTGATTCCAGAATTCAGGAGATACATTCAGGAGGCCTGCAGACTTTGGCCAGCCTGAGCTACATGGCCAGTTTCAGGCCAATGGGCAACACAGCCAAATGTTGTCTCAAAAATTAACAGAATCACAAATTATCAATGGGAAACACTTTCAGTTAAAAGCAAAACCACATTTGGGTTTAAAAACCAAGATATCTGGGCACAGGGTCTTTTCTGAGACTGACATGCAACCAAGGACCATGTATGAATGTAACCTAGAACCTCTGCTCAGATGTAGCCTGTGGTAGCTCAGTAACCAATTGGTTTCCCATAGTGAGGGGAACAAGGACTATTTCTAACAGGAACTCAATGACTGGCTCTTTGGCCTCCCCTCCCCCCAAGGGAGGAGCAGTCCTGTTAGGCCACAGAGGAAAGCTTTGCAGCCAGTCCTGAAGATACCTGATAAAACAGGATCAGATGAATGGGGAGGAGGTCCCCCCTATCAGTGGACTTGGCAAGGGGCACGGTGGAGATGAGGGAGGGAGGGAGGGACTGGGAGGGAATGAGGGATTGGGACACGGCTGGGGTACAGAGTTAATAAAATGTAACTGATAAGAAAAAAATAAAATACAAAAAAAAAAAAACAATCTCCAGTCTGCAAATCTGGAGACAGAAATTTTAGTGCCCTGTGCTGTCTTGGGTCTAATGTCATTAGCCGTGCGTGGCTGGGTGAAGAAGGTGTGTGACAGTGGTGCCAGTGTTCCATCTCCAAGCAGGGCCAGGCAGTGGCTCTGGGCTCTGCAACTCTGGGTGTCTTCTCAGGCTCCTCTGAAGCTCTTATCCACATTTCTCCCTACTCCTCTCCTTTTCTACCCCAGCTCCACCCACAAGCTGCAATTTGATTCCATGGGAAGGGATAAGTCTCATAGAGTCTCTCCCCTAACACATAACTGCAGTTAACTAAGGATTTCCCAGAGAGGGAGAATTGGTCATACAGAATTCCCAGCCTCCTCATCGGTATGTAATGCCAGGTGGTCAGAACTAAAATCATACAAACACAAGTAATGCTAAATAGACATAGCAGGTTATATTTGTATATTTGTCATCTATACACACACTCACATGTGT